CTGCCAGACATAGAGGGCAAAATGGGAATTTTAGAATTACGGAATTCTAAAATTAAATACTCGAAAATTATTGATTGAGAATTAATTATTATTTAAATAATGTGATTATTTAAATTTGAATTTGAATTGTGAACATAATTTAAATTTATCGTTTTAAACTTATTTGATAAGTTGTTCAATTTAGAATTCAAATTATTTTAAGTTTGACTTAAATTCGAATTTGAATTTGAATTAAAATTGGACTACAGGATAAATGATGTTTTTCTCTTCCTTCCTTATCCAGTATTGGCACCACACACGAGGGAAATAAACCCTACATGGCCAGCCACTTAAGGGATAAGGTGTAGGAGATTTTTTGTTTCAAATTCAAATAGGAGATATAGATTTGATTCCTTTTTAAAGTTTGACTTCTACTCTTTAAATAGGAGAATGATAGAAAATTGTGGACACAATTTTTTAAAATTTTTTTTTCTTCCCTAATTGTTAGTGTGGCCGAAAATTCTCAAGGAAAGAGAGAGGAAAATTTTTTCTCCCAAAAAATTCTACATCATGCATGCGTTGGTGTTTGTGGAAATTCGAGTGTTTTTGAAACATGTTTTGTCTCACGTGTGCCCACACACACATCTACGTGGAATCAAAGAATTGACGTGGAAGACTTTGATTTTCTAAACACAAAGATTGGAGCAAGAATTGTTCGTGGTCAAAGAACTCAAGTTATCATCCGAGTCGGCCTCCAGGTATTTTCCTAATTGAGTTCTTGACATATAAATTAATGTGATTAATTTATTCGTGCATAAATTAATATAATCTATAGAGTATCTCAAAAGTTTTATGAAAATTTTTGTTATACACGATCCGCCTCCCCGCTACGCTTCCGCATCCGAATTCGATTCAATTTCCAACAATCCTCCATAAATAATACATAATTAGAGTTATGTAGAATCCGTTAACCTCTCTAATTATATATTCATGCTTGAGTACCATTGATTCACTAATGGATAGTGATTCATAAAACACATTCATGAACCAAAGCGCTCTTACTAATCCATGTACCGAATCAACACTCAAGATAATTATTTATCTACTTATTTTTCAAGAATGAATGGATTCCATCTCGTATAGTAACATTCCCGGCTACCTACTTCATCATGTCTCCAAAATATAAGGAATAAGATTCAGGGTATCAGAATCCGTACTGAGTGAATCAAAAGACATAAATTCATAAATATGAGTTTGTTAAGAACTCAGGATTAAGATTATTCTATATATGACTATCGGTAGACTTAATTTGAATTTCTATACTTAACGGAAATTATTAGAAATTCATATTATGTCTGTGTCCCTGTTCCACATAATCTCATTATCCGAAATCCACTCATTCAACATCTCACCATATTAACAGTGCGGATAACACCGCTCCATTCTAAATAGGAATGACATGTATTAATAATGTTTTAATTAAAGATTCTGAACTTTAATTAAATTCATTACGAACATCTCTTTTTAATTATTATCCTTAAACATTATCATCTCACATATAACACTTATATACAATGTTTAAGGCACATAAATAATCATGGAATTTTCATTGATATTCATAAAATATTCACAAATATATACACATAAAATGATGAATAAACTCTTTTATTAAATAAATAATAAATATCCTATTACATCTCATGCTTATAGGACACCATTCCCAACATGGAGGCTAGGGATAACACATTCCAATGCTCATCCAAAACATACAAAATTTAGGATTAAATAGACGAATTCAATTAACTTACAAGGAAAAAAAAAAAAAGAAATGACTAGTAAGAAAAGCAAAAGATTGTGCCTGACCTTATGCCTCTAGAATCGAGAAAACTACAAAGTTCCGCGGCACCTGCGTCTAAAAAAGACTGAACAAATTCGTCTATCTTATCTCTAAATTGATGGTCGAAATTGAAAATGTAGAGCTCGCATCTTCCATTTTCTCATCCAGCATTTTCCTAAGAAACCAACAGAAACAGAATCACAAATTCAGTTATTATCTTATCTCTAGAGTAATTGACTAAATTGTCTAAAACAAAAGTGTAGTTTACGTTTCACATTTTCAGCCAATGTCATAAAATAATCTCGTAATAAAATTATCTTACGAGGAATTAGTTTTCTGAAATTTTCTAATTAATTTCTGAAACATAACGATATGAAATTAACATATTCTCAAATCTGAAATCATCAACACAATTGCTTAACTAATCATAATGCATAGAATTGAAAGCATAATTATAGTTGAATTCGATAAATTATCGGAACTTAATTATTTTCACTTTTGGTTCGCAGAAACAGAACCCGTTTCTTCTGAATTCAAAACTTTGAATCTTTGCTTAGCTCTCGGAGTCTCGTTTTCAAAATCTGATGCTACAAACGCGTCTGGAATGTAAAAAATAGGCTGGGGAAGCGTTCTTCTCATTTCGGGCCAGTGGGTTGATTTGTTGATCCGTCATTGTTGTCGGTCAACCGATGTAGTGGGACTGGAATCTGAAGACCCGATATACCATGTCAAAGCTCTCGATGAGACAAACTTGTTCCCACCTTCGGTTTCCTCATTAGACGCTCCGATTGGGGTTTCTTTACAGGGGCTTTTGCCTCGGTGGTGCAGCGTTTGTGGTGGAGGCTGCAGCTTAGTTGGTGGCGGCGGTGGAAGCGAAGGGCTCCCACGTGCTGGTGTTGATTCTCTTCTCATGGGATGTTTCTGCCTCTTTGTAGATTGGCCACTTTTAATCTCTGGCACTGCTGTGATTGGTTTGTTACCGACTGGATTAATTAGTGCGTGGCCGAGGTCTCTTGCCTGTTTGTTTTTAGGTTTTTAAATTCAATAAAGGCGTTATTTTGTTATTGCTTTTTACTGTTTTGTTTTATCTGTGTAATAACGGAGGTGGTCTCCCCACTTTCCGTTTTTTATTTTAGTGACCAATCCGCTTAGGTTTGCTCGTAGTAGTGTTGTGAGTGACCTTGGTTTACAGGTCTCTTGGTCTCGATCGATCGGAGTTTTTCAACAGTTGTAGAGGAGTTGTATGTGTGCTTAATTGTTAGTGTGACGCCTCCGCCCTTGCGGTGGGTCGCCAACCTTATACTACTACTAGTATGTCGAAATATTGTCTAATGCATTACTTTTTACTTGACTATCACCTCGTTATATCACTTCCTTACACAGGTGAATTTTTTCTTTCTTTTGCTAACCTCTGAGTTCTCAACATGTTCCTTAGTATGTTCTTTCGTTATATTAATGTTACATCTAGCTAATACTTTGTGATTTTGGATAAGAAAATAATGTCTGAAACTTATCTTAACTTACTACAGTCCGATGATCTTTACTAACACTGTACCATCTCTTTCTTAATAGTTAATACACAAACTTTTGTTCTACATTACATTACTTCCGCAGGGGAATTTTTCCTACACGGACGAAGTAGAAACCACTCCCGTAAACCCATAACATATCTGCCACCTTACATCAGCCGGTCCATCAAACAGAACTACTATATAGCTGGCTGTTTACCTGTGTTACCTGCAACACAAGTAAACTGATGAGCGTATGTCCAGCAAGTATAGACATGCAAACATCTTAAAACTAGTAAAACTGTATAATGTGTCATAATGCAGGGACGCACACGTGAATATGTTTCCTTGGCAAACATGCTTTAATAATTACTTTCTGTCTTTCTGTTCCTGTCACTGTGGGCCTGGGCCCCTGTTTAACTGCCTGGTCTAGCTGAAATTTCTTACTCTTTGAGATTTCCTCCCTTGGGAGGCTGATGACCCGTCAGTCTTTTAACTTTACTGAACTTTGGATTTACATTTCAAAGTATTTTAAACTTTACTGAATGCTATGCAACGCTTTCTCTACATGCACATGCTTAACATGAGATGCATAATGCTTCATGCATACCTTAAACTGAGCATTAGGGTAACCGTATGTTGCCCTTCTGCAATCTAGGGCACTAAGCCCTCAAACACTCAATATCACATAAACTTAGAAATATAAGCAATTTCATAATTCTAAGTCTATCATACAGTTTACTCGAGTACAGACAAACATATATGTCTATAGTTACAAATAATCTACTAGTATTCCCGCGTGTTGAGAATTCTTCCTTCTTGCTTCGGTTTTCATGCCAAAACCTGTCATGAAAATCGGTATCAACTTCCTATTCTCAATATCAAAATTCCTCAGATTTAGATTTCTAAATCTAATCCCAAACTCATTTTTGAATTTTATACCTCTAAGCCGAACTTTCTAGCTTAAGAGGCAAATTCCACAATTTGTGTGTCTAGATTTCTGAATCTCAATTTACTCATTTATAGATCTTAGAACTATTATTCTTACTCGAAAATTAAATCCATAACTTAATACTTACTATCTAGGTTTAGGAAATTTCAGCAGAGTTCTACCTAGTTTTTTCTCATTACCTATGCTTCCAATAGCTCGTTCTAACTTTCAAATTCAGTTCCTGGAGTCAAGATTCATAATTCTCAACACAGATTCCAACTCAGAAATGGAACAAAACACAAGTTTTTCTCATCAAGAGGCTCACATATTTTTTTTGGGTCCAAAATCCACCAAAACCTCATTCAATCATTTCATTTCCTACGCCATTAGACTCCTATCACAACGCTCTACAAAACCTCAGTTTCAGTTTTTACTTTAACGGAAGTTTTTTGAGATTCATTACTATTCATCTAAATAAAAAATCATAGAATTTACTATGAAGAACCTAAAATCTTACCTCTATGAGTTGAGATTTCCCACTAGAACGCCACGGGTTTTGATTCTACCGGACTGAATTGAAGAAATTCGGACGAAAACGCTTGATTCTTTTGATTTCTCTTTGATTTCTCTCTCTCACTCTCTTGGTTCGGCCACTCTAAGGAAAAGAAGAACACATTTTGCTAATATTTTCCTTCGTAAGCCTTTTAAGAAACAAAATAATTTTTTGAGTGGTTTTAAGTTCCTCAAATTTTTGTCGAGTGCCAACTTTCTGTTTCTTAAAACGAGTATTTTTCCGATTCCGATAATCTCTCCCTCGGTACAGGTTCTGTACTGCATTTCTGGACTGCTGGGTACCCCGGATCAAACTTCTCATATTCAACCCAATTCTTTTGGGCATCTCATTAGTCAATTTCTTTTTCTAAAATTTTCATTTCAATCGATCCAAAATTGCTCAAAACGCTTACCTTTGCAGTACTGGTTTTTGAGCTATTTCTCGCTCTAATTGACTCGAGAAAATCTTGTTTCAAGAACTATTGTTATTTTCTTTACTTCTAAAATTTCTGCTCTTTTTCTAACCTGTCATTTGGTCACATACCAAATTTTTCAGTTTTTCAAAACTGAAATAAAACTACTAAAATTTCTATTTTTCACTCATATTGCACTATGCATAACTGATATTTACGAATTTCCTTTGAAGAAATATTCATATTATAACTTTACACATTTTGGGAAATTTTGTCTCATACGTAAAGTTTTTATACAACATTCTCTCGATCAAGTCAAAATTTTACTACTTACAATTCCAGAAAGAATTACGGTCAAATGTCAGACTGTCCGGATTAGACCAAAATTTTCCCGGTCATTACAGTTAGCATGCCTTCTCAGCTTTCCGTTGCTGGAGCTTGGTGCACGTTTGCTCCCTTTGGGCATTTCATTAGGTATTGCTGGTGGTACCGATTAATGGTTGGGGTTAAGTTTCCTTGTATTGTTTAGTCATTCGAGTCAGCATTAGTGTCTATATCTATTTGATTCGGAATACATTTGCTTTTCAAAAAAAAAAAGTTGTTTACTAGTGTTAATTATAAGTCTAAACCGATTAGACCAAAACTGATCATATAAAATATGATTTAGTTTGATTTGCTCCCTCTTAAAATTATAAACCGACCAAAGCAACCACAAATAGATCATTAATATTTTGGTTTGGTAATTGGTAGTTTCTCCCTTCAAATCGATTAAACTTATCACTACGAAGGCATCTACTCCTGCTTGATCTCATACCTGCGAAGCAAGAGGCAACCATAAATGAGTCTATACGTAACTTCCAGAGAGGTTAAAAGAAAGATTTTACCCTCCTACGCCCAAGTTAAATTGCACTAGTTTTTTAATGTGCTATGTGTGCATGGAGAAATGTTGATGTGGTTACTTATTGACCACCTTTATATAACCAACCGGAATATCATATATGCATATCTTATTTATCCTTAATTTGCTCTTCGTATAGGATTAATCATATATGCATATCTCATACTGAACTGGCCCTTGTTTCACTTTCATTTCAATTTGAATTAATAAATTAATCACGAACTTTAAATCGTATTGTCATGATCCTACTCTATTAACTTTCTGAATCTACGGTTGATTAACGCCCAAAAGTACTGTTCACAAGCGGTCGATTGTAGTACAGAAGGGCGGTCGTTTCCATAGAGAGATAACAAAATAACAAGAAAGATTAGCAGAATCCAAACGTTAGAGAAAAATAAATAACAAGATAATTAATGAAAAAGAAGAGTTTTTATAGACTTTGTTGCAAATAAAGACGAGAGAAGAGTTGTGTGGAAGAAATTCAGTAATAAAAGCGGTAAGGTGTCGAGAATCCCTAATGTTTCGTTCACCAATTCAAGTTTTGATTCACAAAATAAAATGATTGAATAAATTAAATCTCTGTGTTGACTCCGAAAATATTATCATTACAAGTTATCCAAAATCGACAATATATCAATTTGACAATATTGCAGTAAAAGACAATTTGTAAAATAATTTGAATAACAAAACAATGCATAACAGAATTACATAAGAAAAGCATGACTGAACTTATATAAAAATTGGCACACAATATTTTGAAAAGTAAAAGAAAAATAGATGAGATTTAATTTATTCAGATTTTGAAGTTTAAAGCACAAGAAATCAAAAGCCTGAATTGGGTCACTAACAAAAGTTCATCTCTAACCTCACCAAGAGAACTCTAGCCTAGCTTGCAAAACATCCTCACAAGTTTTAGAGAGAAAATATGAGACTGACAGCAAGACGACAAAAAACTGAATATCAAAAGCTTCCCAAAACCTTAGGCTAACCCTCTTATTTATAGTGTTCAGAGGTTGCCTGTCTAATAAGGAAACAAATAATAAAAATAAAAAATTACAAAAGAAAGGGAAACAAAATAAAATTACACATAAATTAGGAGAAATTAAATATATGATTTGAGGAAGAAATCCAGTAATGTGCTCTGATTTTTGGGGAAGAAAATCGGATTCAGCACCAAAGGGGACACGTGTCGCAACGTGATTGGTAGTGAGGAGGAAACACGCCACATGTCACAGGCGGATTGGTTGGAGTGTGCTGGCGCGGGTAGAGTGGAGGGCAGTTGGGGGATAGATGTCACGCGCGGAGGAAAGAAGCAGGCTGCCACTGAGCAGACACGGGACCCACGCTGGACAGGTGGCGCGCGC